AAAACCCTAAACCCTAAACCCTAAAACCCTAAGACCCCAAAGTGGTTCCCACTAAACCCTAAACCCTAAACCCTAAAACCCTAAAGCCCCAAACCCTAAACCCTAAACCCTAAATCCCTAAATCCCTAAGACCCTAAAACCCCCAGAGTTGTAGAAGCTTTGGGGCTCTTTTGGGCCATTTCAATTCTTCCTTAAGGGAATGGCTCAAAGGGCTCCTCAAATGCTCTTGGAGGGAGCTTTAGGGGTCGGGTAGTATTGTTAAAGGAAACTACAGGTGGGGAGTTTAGGGTATATAGGGCTTCTATAAGGTATACAGACCTTCTATAAAGCTCTTATAACGGTAACTACCCACCTGAAAATGTCCTAGATATAGGGGTTGGGTAGTATTGGGTTTAGAATTGCGGCTATCGGGTCCTAGTGCTTGGAGTTTAGGGTTTCGGGTTCAAGCTTACGGTGTAACTTGAGTGCATAACGGGTTTTGTTGGAAATCTAGGCGGCTCCATAAGGTGTTACATTGCTGAGGGTGTACCGACCATAATCGAGATGCGTGGTATATGAACGGGCTTTCCATGTTGAGGCGACGTAAACTCAACTCTTTGCGTGCGTGGGGCTTACGGTCTGTGCTTGCAGGGTTTTCGGGTGTAGGGGCTTCCGGGCATTTTGGGTGGGAGGTAGCAAGGCTCCGAAATCGTAAGCCCTAAAATCCTACATGCTACACCTTGAAGGATTTAGCAAGCAGGTCTGGAACGCAAGGGGATTGAACAAAACCTGGCACAAGGCGTAGGGATTTAAGTGGGGTTTAGGGCCTAGAGGTTTGGGGGTCTAGGTAGGGGTTGAGGGTTCGGGGCTTCAAGGTTTGGTTCTCGTTTAGCGCCAACCCCAAGCCCTAAACCCTGAACCCTAAGGGTTTAGTTTAGGGTTTAGGGTTTAGGGTTTAGGGTTTAGGGTTTAGGGTTTAGGGTTTAGGGTTTAGGGTTTAGGATAAATTAACAGCTGTCGTCAGCAGTTGCCAACCTGGAGACACCCAAACCCCTTGATTCAGGAATATACCTGAGATCATATTCGGTTTAGGGTTTAGGGTTTAGGGTTTAGGGTTTAGGGTTTAGAGAGTTTCTAAAAACCCAGAATGCTGTAAGGTGGTTGAAGGGGTGTTCCTGAATGAGGCCTCCTCAAATTCAACGGCATTCACGAGGCAGGCACCGCGAAGGCTGAGGTCGAAACCTCTACTGTAGGGGCCTTAATAGTTAGAATAGGGTATTGGGGGTTCCTTTTTTAAATTATAGTAGAATATACGCCCAAACCCTATTCTAATTGTTAAGGCCCCTATATTACTTGCAACCGGAAACCCTAAACCCTAAACCCCACAAGCCCTAAACAGGCCCTATGCTTCAGCATGCAGCTTGCAATCGGGCCATGGAACTCGCAGCCCTGTGCGGCTATCATCAGCTCCCTGGCTTGGGAGAGGTGGGGCGCATCATTATGAATTTTAGGGTTTAGGGTTTAGGGTTTAGGGATTCATCAATATTATTCAACACACCGGAACACTGTGTTCTTTCGTAATCCCTACAACTTTCAGACTCTCGACCCATGCTTGTCTTAAAACCTTAATCAAAACACCCCAAAATACAAACTCTCCCCCTAAACCGCGGAGCCCTGTGACTTTCGAGACAGCCAGACATCTTGGGTTTCGGCTGCATTCGACGAGTTCGCCACGTTGCAACCTCGGAGCGTCTCAGGACGAGCCAGTGTTGCGGTGTGAGGGTTCCCTAAACCCTAAACCCTAAACCCCTAAACCCTAAACCATCTAAGCCCTAAACTTCCTAAACCCTAAACCCCTAAACCATCTAAACCCTAAACCATCTAAACCCTAAACCTCCTAAACCCTAAACCCCTCAACCCTAAGCCCCAAACTTGGGTCGAGGACCCCAAGTGTTGGGCAGGTCGGGCATCTGAGGCTCCGGGTTCGCGGTTTAGGGTTTAGGGTTTAGGGTTTAGGGTTTAGGGTTTAGGGGGTTTTGGGGGCTTTAGGGCTGCGCAGCATGCCATCCTTCACCTGCGAGCCTGAAGGGAACCACAAGTCTCGAAAGCTTGGGATTTTTAGGGTTTAGGGGTTTAGGGTTTAGGGTTTAGTAGGGAATGGGGGAATGGGTTATAGGGACTACTATAAGGGACCTTAAGGGACTATCATAGGGATCCATTCCCCCATTCCCTACTAAGCACCAGACAGATAAGTTATACGAGGCCAGCCCATCCGTACAGTTTTCAACTTTCTGGACTGGGCTACATCTGTTTATGCTGTCACAGACAGAGTGAATCCTGTCACATTCATATCCCTAAACGCTAAACCCTAAACCCTAATCATATCCACGCCAACCAAGCTTTGGCACTCCGCCAGCGCTTGAAAAGAAACAAAGCATGGAACCTGCGAGCAGGTATCCTACTTGGAGGATCATGGGACTTAGTAAATAAGGTTATAAGTCGTTTAATTAGGGTTATAAGTATAGTTACCTTAGTTATAACCCTACTTACTAAGTCCCATGATCCTTTAAGTACCGCACACGCGTTTAGTGTGATGTGAGGTTTAATCGCAACACTCTTATGCAAAAAGAAAAACCATCCGCTAACCTGAACCCTAAACCCTAAACGCAGTTCTTTTCGATAAAGGCTCCAGGTCTTTGCCCGAGGCAGCCACCAGAGCAGCCAAGAGCCTCGCTGGCTGGACGACGAAGCGAACCTGCGCGTCTTCGGCTTGGAGGTTTGCGCTCTTCAGCTTGCGGTGAAAGGCAGTGGATTCAGGGTTTAGGCCCTAGCTTGTAGGATTTAGGGTTTGGGGCTTTGGATTCGGGATTTAGGCTTTAGGCCTTTTAGCATGTCGGGCTTGGGGCTTTGGATTCGGGGTTTAGGCCCTAGGTTTTAGGATTTAGGGTTTGGGGCTTTGGATTCGGGGTTTAGGCCTTAGGCCTTAGGGTTTAAGGCTGTTGATTCAGGGTTTAGGCTTTAGGCCTTGGGATTTAGGGTTTAGAGCTTTGGATTCAGGGCTTAGGCTTTAGGCCTTGGGTTCTATATGGGAGTTAAGGCTAGTGCAGGGTTGACAGAAGTCAAAGGTGTAATGACCAAGGAGGATCAGAGGTCTTATGATGCACCGCGAACCCCAAAACATCTCTGAAGACCATGCGATACTTACGTAGGAGCAGCTAAACCCTAAACTCTAAACCCTAAATCCTGAAGCCTAAACCCTAAATCCTGAACCCTAAACCCAAAATACGCACAGCTCGGACCTTTACTACGCCATGTTTTGGGTGGTCTTGGCTTAAGGGAGATTAACACTTATCCCAAATCGAAACCTAGCATAAGATTTCTTGGTTAAGGCGTCAGGGATGGGGATGATACTCGGATGTCGGAATTAATGGGGGTAGTGAGAGCTTGCGAAAATTACAGGAACCACGAACACGTAAGCACCCAAGACCTCTCGCAAGTACTTGAAGCAAGGGCAGCTACTTCCCAAAATCATACAACATAGCCGATAATAAGGCTGATGTGTGATATTTGATGCAAAAGCCCGGGACCTGGCTGCAGAAGTCTGATGTGCAAGCTATTGCTGGAGGCTCGCCACCTTCATTTGATGGGGAAACTGATGAACGAAAGTCTGCAAATCTGTGCAGCATCTGCGCGTGTGGCGGATGCTACAGGAACGACGCCGGACGTCTGGACGCGGCAGAGGGAACAGGTTCCCAAAGAGTCCTAAGTACCGATATGGGGATACTTACCCAAACGCTACTGGTAATTCCTGTAGTAGAAACCCTATACACCTAAACCCTAGACCTGAAACCTTGATATGCTACGACATATGTACTTGGGAATCTATTGGGGTTGCACAATGCTGACGATCGAGGTCAAAGAACATATGTTGCTAGGCTCGAGCATTTTGACAGTTGCCGCATTAGAGTCTGAGTTAGGGTTCGGGATCTAGTCACCTGTCGCTAGATTTTGCTTTGCACAAGTGCAAAGGTGTTCAATGGTTTCATGTCAGAAGCGCGAGCCGATGCGTGCAATATGGTAAACATAGCTTTCAGCCTTCCACGTTGCGACCTCAGTTTCGGAGCCGAAGCTCCGAAGCTCTGGAGCCGTTGTTCAGGCACAAAAAAAGTCCTGGACATGCGGATGATGGCTGCTTGCGAAGTCAACTCTCCATCCACGCCATGATCAGGGCAGGTCTCAATGCTTTGGAGCTTTGACTCGACGCCTCTTCCTAGAGGGCTCACCACTCAACAAAGCCAAGACTTCGCGGTGGTTCCGGGTGGAAGCGAGGTCCCAAGCAGTCTTGCCCTCACCATTTGACTTCGCCTGGTCCGCACCTGCCTCGACTAAGAGACGAACAACATTGGGCCGGCAGTGCGCGGAGGCCACGGTAAGAGGCGTCTCACCCCCTTGATCAGCTCGGTCCTTGTCGGCACCTGCCTCCAGCAACAGCTGGACCACATCGGAGTGGCCTTTCTCTGCAGCGACGAGCAAAGGCCCTTCACCGTTGCAGGCCGACTGCTCGTGGTCCGCACGTGCTTCCAGCAGATGTCGCACAACCCGGATGCAGTTCTGTAGAGAGGCCACGAGCAAAGGCGTTTCGCCGTTCCTGGTTCACTGTTGGAGCCATATTGAAAATCATCATGTTGAATCCTTCTGAGGTTTCATTATAACCAAAATGTAAATTGTATCCAACAAGGACCCAGGTTCTTATTGGCCTTGTTCGTATCAGCACGAGCCTCCAGCAAGAGGCGAACCAGGGCCACCTCAGTGCAGGAATCCGATGCCACAGCCAAAGGGGTCTCTCCATGCTCGTTCCTTAGCTGAGTTCATCAGCCCAGAAAAGTGTACGCTTTCAGTTTTATAGTAGGTAATATTATCCCAAAAAGTGTAGTGTACATTTTCAGTTTTATAGTAGGTAATATTATCCCAAAAAGTGTAGAGTGTACATTTTCAGTTTTATAGTAGGTAATATTATCCCAAAAAGTGTAAAGTGTATCCACTCAGCTACTGAGGTTCGGCTTGTCCTTGTCGACACCGGCCTCCAGGAGCAGCTTAACCTAGTTCATGGTTCGGGTAGTATTAAAAAATTTAAATGTATATTCCTTATTGGGTTTCAAGTACCCTTAAAAATGTAAAATGTTACCCAACTATGACAAAGTAACGACCTCAATGCGTCCGCAACGCGAAGCCACGCTCAGCGGGGTTGCGCTGTAATGGCCCGAACTGTCCTAGGTTGGCACTTTAAGCACCTGAAAAAGCTTGTAAATAAGATCCTCTGAAGCCAACTAACCGAAACACACAACCTCAAGACACAAACACTAAACTCTACATAGCGTCCTTGTCTGCAGAAGCCTCCAGCAAGAGTTGGACGATTGGGATGCAGCCCTTTGCGCAAGCCTCAGAGTTTCCCGCAGGATGAGATCATGAAGCCCGATATACAACAGAAGCCAGGAAAGTTGGAACATCCTTATCCTAATGCCCGTAAGGCAAATTATAGGGAATCAACTTTCTGGGGTTCACTATAGAGGAACCCTATCAGGAACCTCATAAGGGCTCCTTAAAGGGATCCATAAAAGGGGTCACTAAGTCCCATGATACCTCTACTTTAAGTAGGAGCCTGAAGAAAGAGAATAGGGTCCCTGCGAAGACTGACTCCTGTCAAGGGATCCTTCAAAAAGGTTCCCTTAAAAGGCTTTCTATAAGGGGTGCTACAGTAGTATAGGGTCCTGAAATGTCCTGAAGACTTGGAATATGTTTTGGTGGTAGACAAAAAATATGCTATAGGAAAACTGGGGATGTCCAGGAAAGGGTAGCAGAAACCACTAAGCTTCCCATTCTAGCCCTAGGATGTATTAAGGTAGTTCGCTAAATTAGGGTCCATTTAATAGGTCAATATAATACGGCACCCTTATAATCAGGACTCCCCTAAGGGGACCCTGCTTCAGAGAACTACCCATTAGGACACTGCCGAGGAGCGGTGTGAAGAGGAGTCCACTTGTAGGCGTTGTCCGTCACCTGGGGGTTTCCGAAAACAGGGGGACCCTTATATAGTACCCTAAATACTCGGATCCTTATTATAAGGACACCAAAATAAGGTACCCCTGAGTTTCGGAAACTCCTACCTACGTCCGCAAGGCCCAGTCATCGAAATTGTCCATTCAGGCCGAGGAGCTACTAATGTAGGGGCCTTAATGATTAGAGTAGGTTTTGGGGCTTCTGTATTTAACAGTATAAGTATATTAAGGAACCCTAACAGTAATATTGGCAATTGTTCAGGCTTCCACAGTAATCATTCAGGCCAAGAAATTAGGGACAAAATGGGACTAAAAGGGACTGGGACTAAGGGACTAGGGTATCTAGGCTTTGCATATCCAGCTGGCACTCTGACTCAGGACGCCTATTGGAAAGACTCGCCAACCTTGAAATCCAATTGTAACGTAAGCCCTAAACCCTAAACCTGTGCTGCCGCCAGACGTTCGGATCGTGCCGTCTCTGCAGCAGCTGCTCCACTTTGTTTGCGTGGCCGAACCTCACTGCGCGGAAGACCTCTGGCGAGTTTGTCAAGGGAGTGGCTTGACACAAAGGGGCTTTGAAAGCGTGCACAGAACCAACAAACTGAATCAGTAAGCAGATACGAAGACATATACTACATATATGTACGCTATACTAAATATATATATACAGATAATACATATATATATATATACATACATGCATGTATATATATATATATATCCTGCATACATAGATACAGATAAACATGTACACACTGTTCATTTATGCTCGTCGTTTTTGGCTTGTATCTGGTCGATGTTGGTAAACACAGGAATAAAGGCAGATAGGTCTACAGATAACTAGACAAACCCCGAACAAAACCTGATCAGCGAAATCCGAGACCCTGGAGCCTGAATTCCTCTGAACCCACGGCCCTAAACCCTAAACCCTAAACCCGTAAACCCAGCCCTAAACCCATGAACCCAAGAAGCCTAAGGTTTCAGATCACCCGACAAGCAAAACATTCCCAACACACCGCAATCCTGAAAACAAAAAAACCTCAAGGCCGAAACCCCTGAAGCCCTCAATTTTGAATTCTATCTAGAGCTCCCACGAGTCCTAAACCCTATAAACCCGATAAGCCCCACAAGCGCTATAAACTCTGTAAGCCCTGAGCCCTGAACCCACAACCTAAATTCTAAGCCCCACGGATCTCTCTGGGCCACCTCATCGTCCTGCTGCGGTGAAGTCTCGCAGAACGGAAGGAGGACGAGTTGCAGATCCTTGGCTTGCAAGATTATGATTGTTGCAATTATTAGTATTCTCTTCTTAGAATGATGGTAAATATGTCTATTATGACAGCTACTACTGTTATTGTTGTTATGCTCATAACATGTTTGCTATTTCAGTATCTTTCAATATAATTCTTTCACTACATTTCGCTCATTATGTTTTACTGCAATTTTCTATATTGTATTACATTGTTACCGTTAGTATTGGTATCATCAGTACGATTACCAACACTACGATTACTAGCATTATTGTTGTCATTATTGTTATTGCCAGTCATCGCCACCACCATCATCATCAGCAGCATCATCATCATCATCAGCAGCATCAGCAGCATCAACATCATCATCACCATCACCATCATCATCATCACCATCATCAACATCAGCAGCATCAACATCATCAACATCATCATCAGCATCATCATCATCATCACATCATGATGATGGCGATGATAACGATGATTATGATGATGACGACGGTGATGATTGGTATCTGTCTGATTGTTATTGTTTCGAAACTCTATATCCCATTCCCCATGAGGTTTCTCCCACCCTGCACCCGAAGTATCCCCTTAGAACACGTCGCGCCATGGTACCTGAATGAGAGCTATAAGCAATTATAAGTATAGTTACCCTAATTATAACCTCAATTACGAAGTCCCATGATCCTTTTGTTGAGTGCAGCTTCTGAAAGAGGCTCGGAGAGTGATGGCGCTCGCTGCGGGTTGAGCCAATCTTTCGGGCTTCGGGGCTTCACCCTCAATGGGTTTAGGGCTTAGGGTTTACTAATTACTAACTTTAAACCCTAAACCCTAAGCCCTAAACCCTAAACCCTAAACCCTAAGACCTAAACCCTAAACCCTAAACCCTAAGCCCTAAACCCTAAGCCCTAAGCCCTAAAAGGGTTTTAGGGCTTCGAGTCGCAGGATTCCGGCTGCACAGGGGACCAGCCCTTAGTGTCTTGGTACCTAACATGGAAGCTTGGCAAATCACGGTTTAGTTCTCTAAACTAGGGTCCCCTTGTAGGTCCCCCCAAAAACTAGGGTTTAGGGTTTAGGGTTTAGGGGTTTAGGGTTTAGGGTTTAAGGCAAATCACCATTATGCTTGTCCGTAGGCCTTAGGGTACCTTGTTGTACTGACATGACATAGTTTGCACCCAAAACCGCAACTGGTAAGGCACAGATATTCATGGTATGTTCGCAGAGGCCCCGAAGCCCTAAACCCTAAACCCCAAACCCCTAAACCCTAAACCCTACACCCTAAACCCTAAATTTCCCCCATACCTGCCCAAACCGAAATGCCTTGAACAGGGCGTTCCTTCGGAATCATGTTCAAGTTTTCTATGCTACAAGGATTCGGATCTAACCTAAACCCTAAACCCCTAAACCCCAAACCCTAGACCCAGAACACAAACCCCAAAACCTTTAAGGATTAGGGTTTAAGGTTTAGCGTTTAACTGCAACACAACTACGGCTTAGGGTTTACCGTTTATGACTCAGTGTGTAAGGTTCCGACTACAGCACATGAAGCGACACAACAGAGTCAGCATCAGAACGATGAGGAAGCCGGAAGAGTTACCAATGTTATTCCTCAGCTTTTCTTGGATATCCTACCCCAAAAGCCTAGTGCCTAAACCCTGAACCCCCAACCCCGAAAGCCTGTTCTGATCATTCAAGCCCCCCCATATTACTATCTCGGCCTTCTGGGCTTCAAGGCATTAAGGTATCACCTACCCCAAAATCCTCTCTTCTGATGACTAACGCCCCTACGCTACGGAACACTTAAGAAAGTAACCCTTGTAGACCTTTATAAGGAACCCGATTCTGATTCGCTCAGGCCCTTATACCTAGCCCTAAACCCTTGTAGTAGCCCGAACCCTTTAAAGGAACGCTACCCTAATTAGCATCAAGCCCAGTCTGCTACTCATATAGATCCTTTGTAACGTCCTTTATAGACCCATTCAAACGGATCTCTATTCCTACTGTTGATGGACAAAATCCATGACCTTACATACCTAAACTATGGGATTTCTGGTACTATACTATATTTGGGTCATGCAGGATTTTGTCCATCAGCCGTATGTCTAAGGCCTCCTCCTCTTCATGATACTTCGAGGCTCGACCGGGGTATCGAGATCGCCATCCTCCGGCAACTCAGTGCCGTCCTTCAAGAGATTTGGGGGCTTGGGGATGTATTGAACAGGACTTTATGAATTAAGGGGTCTATGAGTTAGGTAGGGGTTTCGGTGATTCGGGCGGGCGCGGGGTGTAGGGTTTTGGGGTCGAGGTTGCAAGACGTACACCTAGCATAGGGTATAAGAGTAAAACGCCCACGGTTTACGCTCCAGGCTTCACCTTGAAGAGCAAGATTCGTGGTCCAAAGCCCGGGACACCAAACGCACGAACTCACACATTTCAACCTGCCCAACCGAAAATCTAAGCTCTCTAATGAAGGGGTCTGAAATATCGGAACAGGGCTTTGCCAAAATATTGCTGCGACCCCTACATAAAGCTGCATACTATCCCGAATAGAAGCCCGTGAACCCTTGCAAGAACCGCTAAACCCTAAAACCCCTTTCAAGGAAGCCTTAAAGGAGCCTGCAACCCGTCGAAAAGTCCTAGCTAAGGAAATGCCTTCAACGGACAAATTATGAGTGTATGTACATCTGGGGTTTTTTTTACGTCCGCCATGCGCCACCCACACGATGTGTAAGAAATTTAAAACATTCAGCGTTGCGCG